CATTTCGCCCTTAACGACCCAGTCTGGCCTGTGTTAGAAAATGCTTCCGCTCTAAACAGTAAACAAACCCACAGTGGATAGTCTTGGCTCCCCCAACACACCCCAGACCCCCACGCCATTACCCTCTTGCCCCGCATTTTCCCCCTCTTCTCCTCCAGCTTTTCTCAGCTCCCAGCTCCCCAACCCCCTCCCCCCCCCAGTAAATAAACCCGAGGCCGAGTTCAAAGTTTCTCGGAGCTAAGGAGGAATGTTGGTTGTAAAAATCCAAGTTTATAGCGCACGTGGGAGTTTACAAGGGTATTAAGTGCTGTGGGCTGAGAGAGAGCACTCTGGGCCCCTCCCCCTCTCACTATGGGCTTTAGGGGTACAGGGAGAACCTTGGGGACTTGAAAAGAGAAACGGCTTGGGGCCAGCCTTGTGTTTGGGGTTTCTTTGTCCCTTAGACCCCTGGGTTGCTGAGGAATGGGGATACAAGGGCCCCTTAGAAGTAAGCGCACACAGGCGCTTCTGAGAGCAAGCGCACAGGTTTTAGATGTCCCAGATGGAGAGGGTGGGCAGCTCTGCTTTGGGAAAGCAAGAAAGCTACAGACCAGGTGTCTGAAAGGTGCACAGACATGGGGATACCTAGAGCCTGTTCTCAACCAGAGGGAGAAAAACTACCTGGGGCTAATTTCTCGAGTGGGCTGAAGGCAGAGGGGGATTTTCTCACCCGAGCAAAGAAGAACTTTGAACTTCAAGAAGTCAAGGGCGCCACCTCTTCCCTTTCCCCGCCCCCTCTCAGGAATCTGTAGGGCAATTCGTTTCTGGGCCAATATTCCCTCAAGGGGGCAGTCCCTGGGGTTTCCTGGTGCCCCAGGGCTGGATAATACTGTTTGCTGAACCCTTCCTGCTCAGAGCCCGCCAGAACCCTGTGCACGCGACTACACTCTTTATTATTCATATAAACCTTTGGAAAAGGCAATGCCCGGGAAGTTTTTATAACTTTGTTTGGCATAAAAGTTTTACAAGATTCCTCCTCCTTTCTAAAAAAACTTTAAGTTTTGGTCTTGCCATGGAATGAAAGCTCAGGATCTTTAGGAGGTTGTGGGGAGAGAGGTTCTGGGGCCCTGGTGGGGGAGGTGGTGGCATCTGAAGCTGCCTCTCTCTGCCTAAGGCAAAACAGGCTGAAGGCTGTAGTCAGTCTTTTCCTGAGGCCCACCTTGGAGCGAGCTTTGGGGTCTACCAGCTCACAGAGGCTACAGGCCTGCAAGAGAGTCCTGGCCACTCTGTTCTTGAGACATACCCTTGCAGACCCCCAAAGTTGGGCAATGTCAGCAGGACCAGACCTTCCCCATCACTCCCTCTTGTTCTCCTGCAGGCATCATTCTCTCTCTCTCTCTTTCTCCACACACACACACACACACACACACACACACACACACCCCAAACACTCCCTCAACCCACCACACAAAGTAGAGACCCATAACCTTGACTCAGACCGCCAATTTGAGAGAGTCTACACACACAGTCTTGCATCCCTATTTCTTGCAAAGTCCACAGTGGGTTTGAAGAAAGGCAGAATTCAAAACGCCAAGAAATTCCTGCCCAGAGGTTCCAGAGGACTGCAAGACTGTAGTCCGGAAGCACAGAGAACAAAGGTGCCCATGTGGGGACATGGCTTTGCGTTGCTAAGCCCACAGGTGACCCCCTCAGATCTTGACGCTCATCTGGGACTGACAGAGCCCCCACTCCTTCATTCCCCCTGACTCCAGCCTTGGGGATGCCACTTCGGCTCAAATTGAGCCTATTTTAATGTTCAGCTCTGGAGGTCAGGACAAAGATGGAGCAACTTCTCCAAAGACAGGCCTGGGGGACAAGCCTCCTTGGAGGTAATGGGACCGAAGGTACCTGAGCCCTGGGACCGGATGCCTCAGGGAGCCATCGGGGCGGTAGGAATGTGCGCCCGCGCCAGGTTTTCCTTCCCTCTGATGGCAACTGCTGAGGCCTGGCCGCCGGCCACTGCAGGCCTACACTTCGCCTTGTGAGGAGCCGAGTTATTAAGGCTGAAGGCCGGAGAAGGTCAACTCCAAGCCTGAGCAGTGAGGCTGCAGAGAGATGCACCCGAGCCTGGGGCTTTCTCCTCCCTGAGCTCTGCACAACAGAGAAAAACAAGAAAGGCTAGGGGGGACCGAAAGTCAAGGGGGAAGGAAAGCAGTGAGGAGGAAAGAAAAGAGCCAAGAATAAATTGTGTCCTAAAGAAAAAAGGAAGAAGGAAATGAAGAAAACCATGAATTAAAAAAGAGAAAAGATCAGGGAAAAAAAATGAAGGGGAAAAATGAACTGCAGGAAAAGAGAGAAGGAAAGAGAAAGAGAAAGAAGCAAATAAAGAGAAAGAAGGATGAAGAAAAAAAAGGAAGGAAGGAAGGAAGAGAGAGAGAAAAAAGAAAGGAGAAAGAGGGAAAAAAGATGCAAAATGGATCTTCGAAAAGGCACTTAGCCGGTAAGGGAGGAGCGGGGGTTTTCTCTGAAGCCAGCCAGCCCAACCATAGCCCTGACTCCCCACTGGAAACCTAATCTACTGGGGCAACTTGGGAGCAAATCACTAAAGTGGGGGGCCAGGCTTCCCCCCACCAAGACATCCTCCCATCTGTTTCCTTCTCTCAGAGCTTCTTTCCGAAGTGTTGGCTGTCTGGTTTCAATTCAGGAGGCAAAGTTAAATAACTGGCCGCCCTTCGGCGGGGCAAGAATGGAGTTGGGCTGGCGCAGGTTTATCAGACTTCAGGATGCGGGGATCGTGGGGAGCACGTCTCTTAGGTAAAGGTGAATATTTGTGGCTGTGTGCGCACAATGAAGCGCAAGTTAGACAAGTACGGAAACGGTAAATTCCGTAGCATCTAGGGGCAAATGTGTACAGCGTCCAGATGTGAGAGGGACTCTGATGGCGGGGCTTCCAGGGAGGCTGCGAGATCCGGAGTAGACCAGAGGCCCTCCAAGGGTCCTGGGTCTCCCATGTCTCTCTTGTACCTGTTTGAAAATCTCTCTCTTGGGCTTCTGAGCATTCTGCAGTTTGCCTGGTATTTCCCTGCTCCCAACTCAGTCCGGGCAGAGCCCGGTGTTAGTGAAGGAGAAAAGCAAAATTTTCCTTCAAGTTTTGGGTTGAGAATAATTTTTCTGGGCCTCCAAAACAAGAGGAAAAATGCCTGCAACTTTCCCCGCTGGTGTGATTTTATTTTCCATTTCACTTGAAGAGATAGATTTCAATACACCAACTTTACTATTATTTTATTTTATTATTTTACCCCAAAGGGAAAGACGCTCTTCCTTTTTTTCACTCCACCTTTGGAATTTCCCAGACGATTTCTTTAACCTGTTGGGGAAACTCTCACTTTCCTTGGAAAACTCGGGATGTTTCTGGGGGCACGTTGAGGGCTGGTACCAGGGAAACAGCCGTGGTTCCTTTCTGTTCGTTGAGCACTATATTTTCCTTCTTCTGTTTCACATGGGGACCCCTAGTGCCCCAGCCCTCGGCCTGCCCTCTGGAACCACCGATCTTCCTGGAATATGCAAGAGATCTTCCTGGAATATGCAAGAAGCGAGCAAGGGGCACCCACCTCCGCTCTCTGGCTCACAGTTCTACAGGCAGCAGGAGGCCCAGTCCCCCGTCTCTGCTGTCCATCCAGGTTCGGGTCCAGGAAGAGTGCCAGGACACTTGGGGTGGGTGGGATTGGTCAAGATGTAGGTGCAGGCTGAGCCCTGTTCTGGCCTGCCGCCCCTGGATTTTCACAGCCCCAAGTTGAGGCAAGAAGGGGACCCCCGGAGCCAGGCATAAGCACAGGTCTCTCAGCACTCCCAGAAAGTTGGGGAAATGGTTTAACAGGCTGAGTGTAGCCATACAGACTTCTCTTGACCCCAACCCAGGTCCTCAGGGGCGCGGGCCTGAGGGTCTTGGCTCTGTGGGGTAGGACCGGTGGGTGCCTGGCAGCAGCAGCAGGCGGAATGGCCGTGGCAGCCCGAGTGCCTTTGAACGCCAGGCCGGGACAAGAGGATGGAAACGGCCTTTGCTCGTGGCCTCGGGAAAGACCGAGCCCAAGGGGGCAGGGCTGGAACCCACATCCGACTGTACTTTCCTGGACCCGCTCAAATGCTCCCCTCGCCCCCTGTCCTCACCCTCACGTCTTCCTCTCTTTCGCCTCCACTGCGGCGGAATCCCAAAGTCTGCAAAACCCCAAGTTATTCAAGTCTGCGTCCGCTCTCCGCTCGGGGTCTTGTTTAACAGCTCCGGGTTTGCGTTTATCCTGCGTAATTAGAAGCAAACATTTGTCCCACCGGGGGTCCCACTTAGGCTGATGAATTTGATTTCTTTTTTCATTAATGGGCCATGTTTATCATACTTCTAATTATTTCAACTTTAAACACTATTCGTTCTTGTGAGGAGGTGAGAGCCCAGGCGGGAGGCTCCTTCTCCCGGGGGGGATTATTTCCATTAATAATGGCAAGAATTCTGAAGCCGCTCCAACCCCTCCCAGAACTGAGGTAAGGAGTGAGTTTGGGATGGGGGTCGGGCTGGTAAGGAGAGACAAGTCCTGAGGCGGAGGGACTCTGCTCCTCTCCTGTTGGTTCCCCAGCTTAAGTCTTGGGGCTTGCTGTTTTTTGAGAGGTAATCTGGAGTTTGTCTTTTTCACCCTCCGCCACCGCCCTCGCCCCCTCCCAGGCTAGGCTCAGATCCTTCCCCTGTGAGGAGACTCTTGGCAATCTTCCACCCCCCCAGCCAGATCCCAGCCTGGCCCGGCAGAGGCTCCAGGAGCCCTGGCCCGGCCACCAGCTGCTAACACCGAGAGAAAAGTCAGGAAAAGCTAGGGTTGACCAAGCGGTACCTGGGTGTGGAAGGGAGGGCCCAGCAGACCCCCAAACAGGGGGCAAGGGCAGGGGACTGGGATGCCAAACTCCACGGACAGGAACACCAGGCGGGAAAATAAAGGAGATGTGAAAGAGGGGGGAGGGAACCCCCCAAAGCCATATAATTCTCAATTGCTTTGGTCTTTAATTTCATCGCCCCATAAATGAGGAAATATCAGTTCCCATACTAAATTTTTATCCCCGGCTGATAAATATGACGGGGAATTTTCGTTGGGTCCTCGTAAAAGCGAACAGTTTCGATCAAACTGGTGGGGAAAGACTTATGCAGATAATACAAACAGAGTGGCCATAAAGTCTCTGCCGTTTCCCGCGGGGTGGGAGGTGGGACAAATGGCTCCCTGGATTGACGGCTGCCCGGGCTGTCCCAAGTCTTGTCTGGGGCCTAAACAGCCTAACCTTGCCCCGGCCAACCCCTGTGCCGAGCCCACGGTGACCCCTGCAAATGAAAACACAAAACCATTTCTAATCTCCCCTGGCTGGCCCTGCAAGCGAGTCACACATTACACATTTTCTGCCAGTGTTCCCAGGGCCCACGGACCCCCGTGCCTCATCTCTTGCTCCCTGGATGAGGGAGTTCCGTGGATTTCCTTCCGAAATCCTTTTCTAACAGCCGCGGGCTTGGGCCTCTCTAGAAGCAATCCAGCCTCCGCACTCCTCCACGCCAGGGTGCCCGGAGCACCGGTCCTTTTCTGGCCAGGCTCCAGCCCTTTGGAAAATCGAAACCCGAGGCTTCGTCCATGGGAAACTGCGGCGTGACCGGAGACAAGTTATTTTCCAGATTCCGTTTCCTGAGGAAGGGGTGGAGAGTTTAGTTCGCTTTGGGAGAAAGGAGATGGAGAAACGGAAAGAACTATTTAAAACATACCTTGTCCCTTATTTCTCGTTTTTCTTTTTTTTTTAAAAAAAATAAAAACCACACAAACACGCTTGTTCCTCTTCTCCATTCACAAATGCTCCCCAGCTCATTCGCTCTGTAAAGGACACTGCTCCGGGTCGGATTTTGTCACATCTGGTGTCCTAGTTTCCCGTGTGATACGTGACTCCCACAAACCAGCCGAGGCCCTGCAGGTTCCCTCTTCCTCTCTGGGAATATTCCCTGTTTTAGTGGGGGCAAGGTCAATTGGAAAGCAAGGGCCGCCAAGGCCTGGAGCAAAAAAGCCGAACCGACTCCAAGGCCAAAGCCTTCCAAGCCCCTGAGATGGTGACCCAGGAGCCGCCCACTGCCAGGCCCAGACTGCATTCCCGGGTCGGGGAGCCGGCGCCTCTGGTCTCTGGCTTCCTCCTTCCTCGACCCCTAGATCCACTGGAAACCTCCTTTAACCTCCTGGAGCAGCCCTGAAGTGATGGTGACCCCCTCCCTCGTCCATTCCAGACCCTGGAGATTCCCCCCTCAACCCCCACAGGGAACTTGTAACTCAACCAGCTTCCAGGAAGGGAGGTCCCCGAACTGAGCTCCCAGGCCAAGCCCGGCGAACCCGGACGCAGGAGAGCAGAAAGTTTAGCTCTGTTTGGGATTCCTTAACTTTTTCCTCCCTTTCTCTGCCCACTGGAGCCCTCCCCACCCTCCGAACCTCACCCCACACCCATCCCAAGGGAAGAAGCGGGGGCGAGGGCCAAGGAGAGGTAAAGAAGAGGTAAAAGAGAAGGGAAGAAGTACCTGAATCGTGTCTTGACCTTTTAATTTGAATTTGACTGTTTTGAGCCCCGAGTTGCCTTGCTCTCTCCCTCTCTCCGGCATGTCCCCCTCTCCGCCCCATTCTCCCCAACAGTTACAGTCTGGTTCCCGGATAAACAAACCCCATTCTCCCTAGAACCCCCCCCCACCCTCCTCCACCCCTCTCCTGCCCCTGCCGCCCCGGGGGCGCTTCCTTTGTTCGCGGGGAAGGGTTCCGGCGCCCCTACCCCGAGGCGGCTGCTAGGTGGCGCTGTTACTCCACGCTGCGCGCTCCGCCTGCCGACAACTTGACCCCGCTGACGTCACGGCCGTCTGAATCATCAAGGCCATTTTCAAATCCCATTGGTCTAGCCGTCACATGGTGAGGACCGAATGCGCGGATAATTATGGAGCTGATATTTCCCCCCCCTCCCCTTCTTTTCCCTCCCGCCCCTCCAACCGCCCCCCCTCCCGGATGGGGAAAAAAAAAGATGTCAGCTCCTCCGCTGTAGTATTGCTCCTTAAAAACCCCTCTCTCTGAAAATGACATGCCCTCGCAATGTAACTCCGAACTCGTACGCTGAGCCCTTGGCTGCGCCGGGCGGAGGAGAGCGCTATAGCCGGAGCGCAGGCATGTATATGCAATCTGGGAGTGACTTCAACTGCGGGGTGATGAGGGGCTGCGGGCTCGCGCCCTCGCTCTCCAAGAGGGACGAGGGCAGCAGTCCCAACCTCGCCCTCAACACCTACCCGTCCTACCTCTCGCAGCTGGACTCCTGGGGCGACCCCAAAGCCACCTACCGCCTGGAACAACCTGTTGGCAGGCCGCTGTCCTCCTGCTCCTACCCACCTAGTGTCAAGGAGGAGAATGTCTGCTGCATGTACAGCGCAGAGAAGCGGGCGAAAAGTGGCCCCGAGGCAGCTCTCTACTCCCACCCCCTGCAGGAGTCCTGCCTCGGGGAGCACGAGGTGCCCGTGCCCAGCTACTACCGCGCCAGCCCGAGCTACTCCGCGCTGGACAAGCCGCCCCACTGTGCCGGGGCCAACGACTTCGAAGCCCCTTTTGAGCAGCGGGCCGGTCTCAACCCGCGCGCCGAACATCTGGAGTCGCCCCAGCTCGGGGGCAAAGTGAGTTTCCCTGAGACCCCCAAGTCCGACAGCCAGACCCCTAGCCCCAGTGAGATCAAGACCGAGCAGAGCCTGGCGGGCCCAAAAGGCAGCCCCTTGGAGAGAGAAAAGGAGCGGGCCAAAACCGCGGACTCCAGCCCAGACACCTCGGATAACGAAGCGAAAGGTAAGGCTGCCTGGGCCGCGGCGGCCCGGCTGGGACGCTCGGACACTTGGTCTGCGTGGCCGGGGCTGGGGCAGCGGGGAGGGTTGGGCCGAGGAGGCCCTGGACAGTCCAGGGAATGCGATCCCTGCTTGCGACTCGTGTCTGCTGAGCGCCAGGCTGGTGGCGCGTCATTTGGCTAAGGAAGGTAAGCGGCAGAGTGGAGGGGCCGGGCCGGCAGCGGCCGTGGGCGCCGAGACCCGGGAGTGGTGCGCACCGCGGGCAGCCTGCGGGCGCCTGCGGCTGCCCAGGGCTGATGACGGCTCCCGGGCGCTTGCTGGCTTTGGTTTGCTTGCTCTATGGTGGTGACTTGGGGAGCTGATGTCCCTCGTTCGGGTCAGAAGCTTGCAAAAAGCTTAAAATGGCGATCTTGGGCCAGGGACTAGGGAAGGCTTGGGAGAAGGGGGATTTCTCTTTACTGCGTTTTCCCAGTAGAAAATTGTTTCCTTCGAAGCGCGATTTGCTGTTTGTGGGTCTGATTTGCGTGTGTGGTGTGGGCTCCTGCGGTTTGGGCTCGGCCGGGGGGCCTCGGGCAGCGGGGGCTGGGGTGGAAAGAGGTGGAGGTGATGGGCTGCCTGCCACGTCCCTCCCTCCCCCAGACGCCTGGCTTGGGGTCGGCGTTGGAACAGGGCATTTGGAATGTTGTAAGTTTCTTGTCTCCCCTGTTAAATTTCTTCTTCTTTTTCTAGTTAAATTAAAAAAATATTTTTTCGTTCTTTTCCCAAAGCAGCTTACAAATGAGTGGTTGGGAAATTTCTGTGTGCGTGGCAAGCGGTTTTCTCCTGAAAGGGAGTGTTGCTTTAGTTGGATTTCATTGTGATTTTGCCTGGAAAGAGAAAGCCTAGCCAGAGTTCAAGCTCAGGGTTCAAGATTCATTTCTGTGGCAGGAACTGGGGGCCTCCAGGACCTTTCTCTGACGCCTGGAGAAAGAATGTGGAGGAAACGGGAGCAGTGGAGGGAGCCTGAGGGGACCGACTTTCCCTGAAAAGTTAGAGCAAAAAGCATCCAGAAAGGCCCAACTGGGAGGAGAGGAATAAACCTGTTTCCCATGGCACTCACTACTGGAGGCTGTATATAAGTGGGGCTCGTTGGATGTAGAGGCAGATGAGATCCTGAGAGCTGAGCAGACTGGGGGTGGCCTGGATCTTGTGGCGCTTTGTATATGGATGCGGTGCACACGCGTGCCTGGCGGCGACCTGTGTCACACACACACGCCTCTCACATGCTTCGCGCACACTCACACATGCCCGCTCACACACACACACACACACACACACGCACTGTTTTGGCGGGCAAGGGCAGAGCCTTGCTCTCTTGGGTCTCCTTTGCAAAGGTGGCCTTGGCAAATCAGCCCATAGAGAGCCCAGCCAGAAGATGAGCACGGGTGTGTTCATGAGGCTGAGGGAGGGAGTGAGCTACGCACACCCACGAAGCTTCCCTGTGACACATGTGCAGCAGGAAAGCTTAGTTTTGTGCCCTCTCCCCAGACCCTGAGCTTTGTTGGGAAAGAATTCTAGGGTAGGAAAAGCTGCGTCCTAGCCCCACCAAAAGCAAAGTCAAGGTTAACAAGCCTACCTCCCAACTCGAACTGCCCCCATTCCGGTAGGCTCCCCTTTCTCCCCTGCCCTCCCCACAACAACCTAAGCCCTTCCACCCCAACTAATCCCTCTCGGTCTGCACTTTGCCTGTGCCCTTCTTGCCTCCACTCCCCCCCCATATGGTGTCTCCACCAGGCCAGAGGCAAGAGGGCTTTTGGCCAGACTTCCCAATTTGTAATTTCTCCCTTCCCCCAAAACCCAACAACCCCAATGAGAAAATGAGAACCTTTAAACAATTTGGCAAGAGGCTGCAGGTGCAGAGGCGGGAGCAGAAGTAAGAACATTCAGATGTCTTAAACTACAGCCTCAACTTTGCCTTTTTTTTTTTTTTCCCCTGGTGCCTCTCGGTTCCCCTAGGGCCCCTGCCCCACTCCCCATCAAGATGAGATCCAGGAGTCTGGCAGTTCCTTTTGGCAAAGGCGGGAGATAGAGTATAGAGCCACCAGCAGCCACCTTTGCAGGGTGCCCTTCTTGGGTCTCTGGACTCTGGGGTTTTTTTCGTAGAAAGGATGGCCAAGGGTTCTCCTGCTGCTTGAGGAGCAAGGCTGGTCCATTTCAGCAAGAATGTGTACCAGGGAGAGAAGCTGTCAATAAGATAATGGGAAATACACACTAAATCTATAGCATCTCCTTCTATCAATAGACACATGTGTACAGATGTGCGTGTGTACATTTGTGTAGGAGTGTGTATCTCTACAGGAATATACATGTACATACAGGCATTCATATCTATAGAGACTAGATGGAGATTTCCAGGAGGCTGCATTTCCTCAGGATATCTCTCTCCCTTGACCTTAGGTCCTATGGCTAGGGCAGTTGTCTGAGGACCCCTCAGCATGCCCCAGAGCTGTTGCCCCTGACCTCCGCTGCCTTCACAAGCAACCCGGCTTCAGCCACTCACACCTGGGGGAAATGGCCAGGAGAGGAAGAACTGGCAACGGGAGATTGAAAGGGGCAGAGTTGCTCTGTGGCACTTCAGGTGGGAACAAGGGCTGGGGGTCTGGTACAGGGACAACTGCAATGGCCTCTGGCCATAGGGACTAAGGCCACGTCCCTCTGTCCCTCCACTGAGTTGAAAGGGGTCAAAGCTCTCTGGGAATTGCTCTAGGCAGCAGGGTGCACTCTGCAACCCCGTCTGGGGCCTGGGAAGCGCTTTTCCTTCTAGTTGGATTTTTCCAGAACTGGAATGGAACAGAGAGGAGGGAGGGCCTGGTGAGGTTGAGAGCGCCCGCCAGGGTCAGGAAGCTGAGGGAGAGTGGGAGTACTCAGAATCTGCTAGGTCAAGGTGGATTTGGGTCATTTAATTAGTAAATGCTTTGGAGGCAAGAGCTTTCTGTCTTTCCCCATGTAAGTCTAGACCCCAAAGAAATTCTAAGAGCCCTGAGCCCAAGAGGACCCCACCAACCAGGCCTGTGGGGTGAGAACAGCTCCCCTGTGCTCCCTGAGCCGCCCCCACAGCAGGCTGGCCAAGGCTGCAGCATGCTGTGAGGGTTTGCCTCTTCGAGGGATACTTATGTAAATAATGTTATTTTTAACAGAGGAGATAAAGGCAGAAAACACCACAGGAAATTGGCTGACAGCAAAGAGCGGAAGGAAGAAGAGGTGCCCCTATACTAAACACCAGACGCTGGAATTGGAGAAAGAATTTCTGTTCAATATGTATTTGACGCGAGAGCGCCGCCTGGAGATTAGCAAGACCATTAACCTTACAGACAGACAAGTCAAAATCTGGTTTCAAAATCGCAGAATGAAACTCAAGAAAATGAACCGAGAGAATCGGATCCGGGAACTGACCTCCAATTTTAATTTCACCTGAGCGCGCGGCCTCCCCTCCCCCTCCCCTCTCTCCCCACTCCTTCCTCTCCCCGCCCCTCCTCCCTTTGTGCCTGGTGGTATATTTTTTTTTTCCTCCCTGAGTATAAATGCAACGCGCCTGCAAAAAAAGGCAAAGACCTCAGACTCTCCTTCCAAGGGACCTATGGTTCGTGCTGCGAAGATGCATCCACCTCAAGCATGAGAAATGGGGTGCCGGGGTGTGGGGTGTGGTGTGCCCGCATAGATGAGGGTGGGAGTGTGGCTGGTGTGTGTGTCAACCCCTCACTCACCCACGCACTCACACACACCATCCTGTCCTCCATGCAAAGTTAAGGTCGAATCCACCCGATCATAGGGGGAAAAAGAGGGAAAAAAATCAACCGGAGAAGGTCTGTAATCTCGCAGAGCACAGTCAGAATCGCTCCTTCCTTGCTGCATTTCCTCCTTAGGGTAATAGACGTTTTGGAAAGTTCAGCTAGTGTTTGTGTGTTTGTCCTAGCGCCCAGCGCCTCCACCAAACCCTCTCCGTGTTTTTACCTCCCAGTTGCTCTGAGAATCTGCTTGAAGTCTCGTATTTGTACTGCTTTCTGCTTTTCTCCCATCCTCCCAAGACCCCACACATTCCCCCCGCCACTGACACCTCAGAAATTCCATCCAGAGGAATACAAAAAATTTTAAAAATTAAAAATAGAACATAGTGAAGCAAAGACAGACTGCCCCTCCCCCTTTAAATATCGCCCTGTCCCTGTCTGGGAGTTGTGTTATTTAAAGATATTCTGTATGTTGTATCTTTTGCATGTAGCTTCCTTAATGGAAAAGAAAATCCTAATAAATTTCCAGAATCGTAATGTTCAAATGGGTGGTTTTTTGTTTTTAAGTGTTTTTTAGCAACACCCCCACCCCAAAAGAGACTGAGTGTGTGGATGTGTGTGTTTTGTGTTCGACTCATCTCCTAGAGCCTTTCTAGAATGTCTCTTGGCGGGTTTAATGTAAGTGAGAGACCATAACGTTGATTTAAATATTATCCAGGTGACCACAATAAGTCAAGGTCATAAAACAGTAATGTCAGGACGGTCTTGGTGCGCGCGAGAGGTGGATTTTATGATCTGCAAATATAATGTGGTGCTGCAGTAAAAGATGCATTTAAAGGTGACTGGAGGAGGGAAAGAGGCAGAGAGCAAACTGCAATCTTGAGGAGCAGACGGATCTGATTGCCTGGGGTGCTGGGCCAGGCGCACCCCACTGCGGCTGGGGGAACCCCAAGAGCCCCCCACCTATCCAAAGAGAGGAATAAACTTAACCGCCGGAGGGGGACGAGGAGCTCAGCCACCCCCCCCCCACCTCGACAGCAGCAGCAGAAGCCCGGGCGGAGGCAGGAGGAGGAGGCGGCGACAAGGTAAGAGAAGCGGTTTCTTGTTCTTCTCTTGGCGGCGGAGTGGGGACCAGCGGCATCCCCAGGTGCCCGGCGGGCAGCGGGCACAACAGGGAGGAAGGTGTTTCGGGTGTCCGAGCCTGCTGAGAGCCCAGGCTTGCCTTGTGGCCGCTCGCAGCGGAGGGCAGTGGCCGGGAGCTCCTTCTCCTCCCCTCCCCGACCCGCTGCCGTGGGGTTCGGCGGTTAAAGGGGTAAATCGGTGGTTTTTGGCTTCTTTCTCTGCGCGGGCACTTAGGGTCGCCTCGAGGTCGACGCATGGATCTAGATGTCGCTCAGTCTGGTCGTCTGTTGGGGGAAGAAGAGGGAGGGTGGGCTTGAGAGGGCTAGAGCTTGAAGCTTAGGTTTCCTGCTTTCTGCTGGTTTGGATCTGAGCCTTATTCAGGCTCTCGGTCCCCACGCTCCCTGGCCGCGGGGCTTTGCCAGGCAAGTGGCCTGATGGGAAGAGGGTCTGAAGCACAGACTCCTTGGTTCGGCCACCCGGCCACCCATAGAGGCAGGGAAGCAAAGCAGAGCTGAGAGAGGGAGAGGATCAGAGGGAATCCAGGAGGAGAGCGCAGGAGAGCCAGATGGACAAGACAGGGGACCCAGCTCAAGAGTGGAAGGACACTCCAGCTTCCCCCAGGGCCAGGGCCAGAGGCAGGGGAATAACTCCACTGTGGTGCTGGGGGCGGGGCGGGGGTTTGGCAGCTGGAGGTCCCATTTCACCAGAGCTTCCCTGAGCAATTTGCTTAGACCAGACGCTGTTGAGGCAGTCAGACCCCCTACCCACCCAGCCACCCAAAGTCTACTCTCTAGTCCTTAGGGAGGTTGTGGGGGCGGAAAGGGGGACGGGGCTGAATTTCTTCCTTCCCCAACCCCCTTCCCTTCTCCTCCCGATAGATGCAAAGCCGAATCTCCCGCCCTGCTCGCTCAGCTGATCTGTGGCTTAGGTAGTTTCATGTTGTTGGGATTGAGTTTTGAACTCGGCAACAAGAAACTGCCTGAGTTACATCAGTCGGTTTTCGTCGAGGGCCCCAACCCACCTACCCCGCTCCTTCCCTCCCTAGTGGGACTGCCCCACAGCCCCCTCCCAGATAGGGCAAAATGGGTACAGACTGAGGAGGGCAAGCTGTGACTGGGGCCGCAGGACAAGTCTGGGGAGCCCCGCTTTATACTGTCCACTCCTCAGTCTGTCCCAATCCCTGTGACTGAGGGAGAGGAGTTTTTCCTGCAGCTATTGTTTCCTGGGCCCAGCTGATGGAGACAGACAAAGAAAGTCTAGCCAATTCCAAGGAAATTGAGGAATTTGAGTAAGAGGTGGCCTAGTGGGCCAGCTCAGTTGGGCAGCAGGGTGGGGCAGGATCAGGAGAGAGAAGAACACAGAAAGAGAAGGGAGTCTCTGGAAGGGCTAGCTTTTCTCACCTGCCAACCTCCAAAGACAAAAACCTGCCTCCAGTTGGCTGGGGCTGGAGCTTCCCCTTAGACAAGTGGAGTGCCTTGTGGGGGGGAGGGGGTTCCAAGAGTTGGGGAACTCTGAGCACCAGCTCAGCCACCTCCCCTTCCCTTTCTATAGCTCCATCCCCATGAGAAGGGCATATTTAGGGTATTAGTAGGTTAGAGGAAAGCCATCAAGTCCAAGTAGAACCCCCACCCCCCCCACACACACACACTCTACTGGGAAACATCAGGGCAGGAATCTGGCTCTAGTCTCTGTGTAGCTGTCTGTGGCCCATACGCTTTGGCCTGTTGTGTCTCTGGCTATCAGGCAGCTGCTTGTCTTTGCGCTGTGTGGAGATGTCTGGGTGAACGGAGGCTGCCAGCGCCCACCATTACCATATTTTGTTGGGAAGGTTGTTGGCTGATGCCAGGGGGAGGAGGGGAGGATAATGGAGTAAAGGAGAATCTGAGCAATGTGAAACTTTGCAAAGCTTCTTCCCCCCTCCTTTCCCCACCTGGTTCCTCAATTCTGACCCTGGTTGCTAGAGAGAAGAGGCTTCTCTGCCTGCGGAGAAAAATGGGAGGGGGTCAGGGAGAATGGGGAGATACACCCCTGTTCTCAGAGAGACTGGGAAAGAGAAAGCCAAAAGGAGAAGGACAGGCTCCTGGTTCTCTTACTTTGGAATTATTATGATTATTAAAGCATTATAAACTTTGAGACAGGGGAACAAAATTATGTCCCTGTTACAAAATATATACACAGAGTTATATATTTTCACAGTGGTCTGCTGGGGGGATGTATCTAACCTTGTATATGAGTGTGGGTCTCTGTTACTCTATCTCTGTCTTCTCCAGACTCTCTCAAATTCCCAGTATATTTTTACAAGCATACTTTGTGTATTTTTTTCTCTCTCTCTTCTACAAAGAGATTTCTTTTGACCCCAAGGAGGCTAGAGGAGAAAATGGGAATAGAGCCTTTCTTCTCCCTAGCTGAGTTTGTTAGTCTGTCTTTCTGTCTCTCCCCCAGCCCTTTGTGGGAGAAAATAATCTCTTCCCTTGAAGGGAAATGCTCAAATCTCTCTATGGCTCCCGGGGAAATAGGGAGGTTTTCAGAGAGGAAGGCCAGCTGGTGCGAGGCAGGCAGGGGCTCCCCTGGTTTGGGAGCCCCTAGCAGTCTCTGAGTGTTCAAGCTGTCAGAATCACAGGGCCAGTTGGAGTGAAGGGAGTCCCAGGCAGGGGCGGGGTGTTCAGGAGTGCCTGGCTTGGAGAGAGTGTCCCTGATGGGCCGAAATTCACCAATGAACGACTTTTGCGCTTTGGGTCTCTCTCTGCCCCCATTTCCGTTTCAATGTCGGTGGGCTTCTGGGGGGGTGGCCACAGAGCCATGAGTCTGGGGTGTCCCCCTTCCCAGATCCTGGGGAATGGGGTGAGTTCTCATCGGGCCAAGGTGAGGGGCAGTCTGGTGGCCAGAGTCCACCCCGGGGCCCTGGGACCATAGATTATGGCTAAAGCGATGGTGATTATTTATTCGCTTCGCTGGAAGGGAGTCTTTAGAAGAAACAGCGTGAAGAGGAGGGAAAAAATTATCTCTCTCGTCTGCGGATATTAAGATGGATTTTTATTTCTTAAAGGACCCTCCCCGCCGAGAGCGCATAAGCGTAAACTTAATATATGCTCCGCAGCCCAACTCCAGAAATCGCAATAAAAGTTAAAACCTCCCCTACTGGTTTTTTTTAATTATGATATGGGAAAGAGGAGCAGGATTTATAGAGCTGAACTCCTGGCGTGTGAGTGTTTAAGACTTGCGGGAGACGGAGGAAAAGGCAAGAGCTCGCCAAGGAGAGCCTTGGTCTCTGAGATAACTCGCGGGCTGCCGGGGCTCCGGCTTAGCCCGGCCGATCCTCTGTGGCCTCCCCGGGACCTCGGCTCCCCGGCTCCCCGGCACCCTCCGCCCAGGCCCACGGCCTTGCCTCGGCTCGGAGATACAGCCTTTCTCGGGAACAGGTGAAGGGCAGCAGCGGCGGGGGACTGGGGGCTGCGGGTGGGCACTGGGCTTTGTGTGGGTCCCGTGCAGGGGAGGGGGTTTGCAGTCCGGGGCAGGGTCGCGGCCCGAGGGTGGCCCGGCGGGCGTCTTGGCTAGGAGGGGTGTCCGACCCGGCGCGAGGGCTCGGACAAGGTGGATTGTGTGTGGACTTTGGCCGCAGACGGAGCAGAGCGGGCTCCGGGGCGGAGGCCAGCCGCGAGGCGGGCAACCGGATGTTGAGTCTGTAGGAAGGACCTTGAGGTCTGTGTGGTGTTTGGGCTGCCGGGGGGCGGCGGCCCGGAGTGTGGAGCGCGCAGGGCGCGGGGCGCGGCGGTCCGCGTGGGCGAGGCAGCAGGCCCCGCACACCTCTGCCGCTGCAGGGCCGGGTCCTGGGCGTCTGCACAGAGGCCGGCCAGTGGTCAGAGCATGGAAAATAAACGCGGTTAAGGGTCTTTCTTTCTTTTCCACATAAGAGGTCCTTTCTTTCTCTCTCTCTCTCTTTCGGAGATACCTGGATTTGGTCCAGAACAGGTTGCCCGCGGGAGGGCCCCGCGAGCGGCAGCGCGCGAGGGAGGGAGAGAGGGAGGGAGGGCGAGAAAGAGGGAGGGAGGGAGGGAAGGAGGGCGGGCAGCGGCGGCTGCGGTGGCCGGGGCTTCCCTCCCCCGGCGGGAGGCGGCTGCCCTGCATCTGTGGCCGTGGGGAGCCGAGGAGCAGGTAACGAAGGCGCTTCCCGAGGCGGGATTGGACCAAGCCAGAGGGACCGAGTCTTCCGGGTCTCTGCCCAGCGCCCTGGAGGGGAGAGAAGGTAGGGAGATCGGCGCCCGCCCGGCCTGGCAGAGAGGCCTCGGGAATGTTGAACCTGTATTTGATTTTAGGCTCACACTCATGTTGTGAGTCTGTCTGCCTCCGGTGACGCGGTTTGCCTGTCTGTCTGTCTGTCTGAGACGTCCCAAACCCTAGGCTCTCCTTCCAAAGGCTGAAAAAATCGGGAAATTTCGTCGGAATGTGCACTTTCATTCATTGGATTCTCTGCAACTCAGCGGGGCTGGCTGCTGCGCCCCCAAGTTGGAAGGGAGCTTTCCTCCAGCTTTCTGGTTGCCGGATCCTCTGGTTCCCTCCGCCATGGGCTGAGTTTCCGGCTCCAGGTTCGCGGGTTGCCCTGAGGTTTGAGGCCAGACAGCTCCTAGTCTGGCAGGGAGGGCGGGGGAGAGACTAGCGGCTCTGGCCCCTTAATTGTACTTCGGGCCCGTATTGTCTCTCCTTTCGCCACCTCGGCTTCCTCAGTCTGGGCTCCAAAGTCACTGCAAATTTCCTTGCGACACACACACATCACACAAAGATCAGGTAACAAGGCGCCCCGTGCCATGGGGGCTTCAGGCAGAGAGCACCCCCAGTTCTGGGGCCGCTCCTCCCTCAGCCACTCCCCAGGCTGGGAAACCAGACCGGGTTGGGGGAGCCGGAAACAGCCCCGTTCGCTGCGGGGCGGGAGGGCGGGGGGCCGGCGGGAATGCAGGCCGTGGCGTTGAGAGGGCCACGTTCACAGGCCCTAGGGGTTTCACTCCTGCTGGGCTTAGGGCCCTGACTCCTGGCGTGTAGGGATCCCGGATACCCACCTGGGGTGGGGGCAGGACGCGGTCTCCTCGCGGCGGGCCAGGAGAATTCAGTTTCTGCTTCCAGCGCAGGCCTTAGCTCGGAGGAGTTGTGTGTGGGTGTGTTTTTCCCAACAAAGAGGGATCAGGAGCGAGAAGGGGGGAAAGTAGAGGGGAACCGAGGAGGGGGCGGGGAGGGGGAGAGGGCAGCCGAGAGGTGAAATGAGCCCATTTCAGGGGGAGAAGGAAAATGAAAGCAAATGGAGCACGGCCTCCTCCGCGCGGGCGGGTGCTGACGAGCCCGGGGAGTGGGGCTCCCTGCCTGCGGCGGCTGGGGACCGCGAAAAGCCTGTTTTAAATTTAATCCGAACTTGACGGTGTGGATTGAACCGGAGGGAATTTAAATCACTAAGAGGGAGGCGCAGGGCAAGGGGAGGGGATGACTCTAACCTGTCTGTCTCTCTGTCTGTCTGTCCTTCGCATGATGGTGCTAGCTTGGTTGTGGTCGCAGCTGTGCAGGTCTGAGGTGATGGAGTAAGGGTGCCCCTCCCCCTTAGGGGGCTCTCCTGTGCCTAGTGAATTCTTCTGGGGTCGGAGGCAAGCTCTAAGAACCAGAGTGAATGCAGAGCTGCAAGCTAAAGCTGGGGTATCCCCCCCCCCCGGCCAACAGGGACTCCCTGTGTCCTCCAGTCCCTCGGGTTTGCCCCATCGGTGCTGAGGAAAATTGGAGGGCGTGCTGGGGGGTGACAGGGAGTCTGAGAATCTGGGAGGAGATGCAGCAGGAGTAGGTGAGCCTGGAAAGACAAGCCCCTCCTTATTGATGCCCCCACATCCACAGGCCGGGGTTTGGGGCTAGCCTGAAGTTCTGCTTCAGAGCCCTGACCTGCCATCCCACCTCCAAATGCAGAGACGACGGGTACAGCCCACATGCAGTTGTGGAACCCGAGGGACCTCGGCCTGGGGAACTCAGGGACGCCCAGCCCCTTCCAGCCCCCCTCCTCGGGACTGCTGCTCTCGGCAAGGCCTAGGCAAACCGGGGCATCCGTGGGGAGGGGGCTGTGGGCGAGGCCTGCTTCCCGATCCACAGCTGTGTCTGGGCCTGAGTGGGGAGGGTCTGAGTTCGCGCTCTCAGGCAAAGGCGACAATCTCCCCTCAGTTTCACGGGGAATTTGATGGCAGCAGGGAGCCTGGGCCGGGTGATCCGGGCTGCCGCGCTGCGGCTGCCTCTGCTGGGTGGGCAAGCAGGGTGGGCAGGCAGCTCAAGAGTTAGAAAAAAGGTAGTGGCCAAGGGGCGTAGGACAGAAAGGGGCATCTGTTTATAGCCACTATGTCTGAGGGGCTCCCCCAAATAGTAGAGACCCATAGGAAAGGGTCTTTAGGGGCGCCTTTCTTCTAGGAAAACTGAGGTTGGGGCAGATGGGCCCGGTCGACTGGCAAAGACGCAAAAGGAGGAGCGGGGCGTGAGACCTTCTCCTTCATCATGTCTTCTTTGCTCCTAGACTAGAGCGTGGCTCAGCCCCCAGACGCCTGGGTGGCTGCCTGGGCTGAGATGGGGTTCTACATCCTCCAGAGGCCTAGTGTACCCACCCCAGCAGGTCGCCCGGGAGGGGCAGGAGAGGAGGCCTCTTCCTCCTTTGTGTCCGGACAGAAGTGGCCGCCGCGCCCGGAGCCGGTCCCCCGGCAAAGGCCCGGCAAGCCAGCGGACTGCACAATGCCACGGCTGCTCCCAGCTCGCGCCCTGCCCCGTCCCGCCTGCCTATCGCCGCCCTTCCTCCCTCTCGCTCTCTGCACGCCTTCGTCTCCCTGCTCTCCCATCTCTTTTCATCTTGCCCCCCCTCTTTCCTTTAATTCTCCCCTCTCCTTTTTTTTTTAATCTCAATCCTCCATTTTCTTCTCTCTTTCCCTCCTTCCTTCCTCTCCTTGGGCCTGGCGCCGTGTTTCAGTTGTTACATTTCAGGCTCAGTCTCTCTCAGGCTCTGTCCCCTGATGTCCTCTAGGTCTCTGTCTGGTCCCGGGCCCGCTGAAGGCTACACGTCTCTGCTCAGTGCTGCCAGCAGCCGCCCAAGAGCCGGGCAGGGTCCCCAGCCGCCAGGGCTGGGGGAGGTGCTGACGGTGCTGGGGATTTGGAGAAAGCCTCGGTTCCCTCCTGTCTTTTCCTTGAACTAGTGAGGGAGAATTTTTGATTGACAGCTAACCCGATTCCATCAAGGCCAAAGAGATATTCTGTTTCTTGCTGTAATTTGGATTTCCCACACCAGTCCAGTCCGGGGGAGGGGAAGACAATCAGAGCTGAGGGCGAGGAGGCTGAGGCCCCGGGTTGTCTATCCCCAGCCAGGCACTTCTCACACACCCCCCGTGGGTCGAAATCCCAGCCCCGCTAGACCGAAAAGGAAAGAACCGGAGAGGGGGAGGAGCAGGGACTGGGGAGGGGACTTGGAAAGCTGGGGTCAGTGCTGCGAGCTGCAGATCTACCCTCCCCCCCAACTTTCTTCCCCCCCCCATAACACACATGCTACACTCTCTGGGACACCTCTCTCTAGCCCTCCTCCACCCCAGAGGAGAAAGGTCGACAGAGATGCAGGAGAAAACCATCCTCCACCCCGGCCCCCAGCGTTTGGTCCCCTCCTGGGGACAGGAGTGGGAAAGAAGGGCAGGCGTCTCCCGTCTGGGAATCCTTGTCCTTCCCTGCTGCCTCAGAACCCGTGTCTCAGCCTCAGCTCCTGCCTATTTCCCATAGCACAAACTGGGACTCTCCTCTTCTGACCCTGAAATTGCACCCCTCCTTCAAACTCACTCTGTCTTCCCTAGGGTGCATCATGTCTCTGGGGGATGTCACCTGCCCTTCTCGCTACCCCCCAGCCAACCTCCCTGCCCCCCTCTCTTGCACCCACACTGAGAATTTCCTGCTTGCCAAAAGCCCACCTTTACTAAACCACCATGGGGCAGTCTGATGGAAAGCAGAGGGCTGGGCGACAAACCCCAAATTCAAGGAAGAGGGTAGCAACAAACTTATTGGGGGGAGGAATCGAAGTTGTCTGATCTTCCCCACAATCACACTGCCCCCTCCAGAATTCCTGCGTCCGACCCCAGAGAAATTGCTTTCTCCCATCCCTCCTGCTTTCTCCCATCCCTCCGTTGCTTTTTTTCCCGTTCCAAAAACAGCCTACAATTTTATTTAATGAAAGACACATTTATGAACAATCAAATGATCCTCATAAAAATTTTATTGAAGGACGTAAAAACAAGCTACTTGCCCACGACCGAGGTCGCTCTCTCTCGCCTTGCCCGCTCTCACCCTGGCTCTCTGCAGACAGAGCCCTGGAGTGACTTCTTTGGGGGGGGGGGGCAGGGTGTCGCAGAGATGGAGTTGGGGGCAAAGGAGGGTGAGCAGGAAGACAGGATGGGGACGCCCCACTTAACTTGTGCTGATCTCTCCTCCACTTCTTCAAGCTGGCAAAGAAAGATAAATAGATATAGACAATAAATTTAAAATAAAGGAGCTTGCATATCTGTGCCAAAGCAAAGAGAGGACTTCTGATGATAAAGGTGTATGAGGTCCCGAGGTCCTCCCCCTCCCACACGCAGGCCACCTTCCCCAAGCTGCCCTACCCCAGATTTGGGGGGCTGAGTTGGCCAGTGGCAGAAGGACGCTCCCCTTTCCCTCCTTCCCTCCCTCCCTCCACCCCAGCTTCCCCAGTCCCCTCCCACACCCTCCCTCCCTCGCTGCTGCTGCTCCTGAAAGAAATACATACATACACACTATTTAAAAACGCATTTTTAAAAGCCACGTTCCGAACTGACAATCGCTGATCTCGGCTCGCGCAGAGACTGCGGGAGCGTCGGGGCCGACAGAGACGGATTACGTCAAGAAATAGTTCCTCCACCTACCTCGGCCGGCCTCTCCGCCCCTGCGGGGCTCCCGCGCCCAGCTCGACCCTGGGGGTCCGGGAACCCTGGCTTCGGGGACTGGCATTTTCACCCCATTAAAAAATCCTCCAGGGTGGGGGGGGTGCGAGAGGCCATCTGCTTATGGGTGGACGTGGGCAAGGGGGTGCTCTGATGAGATACGAGTTGTCCTGAGGGGGTGGCCGGTGCCTGGGGTCCAGAGTTCCGGACCCCCAGGAAAACATAGGTCGCGGGGATCAGCAGAGAGAAGGGGGTGGGAGAAGGGAAAAAAAAAAAAAAAGCAAGGAAAAAAAAGCCCCTGCGCATTGATCCGCGCCGTATTTTTGGGTAAATACGATCACGTGGGGGCCGGGGAACCAATGAGCTGCGGGGAAAAGGCTGGAAAAATAATTACCTGCCTTGATTGTTCTGTGAGCAGATAAAAAGTACATATACAGTTCATACAATAATCTTATGTATGTAAAACCCTGTTACGATGTCGGCGACGGGGCCCATCAGTAACTATTACGTGGACTCGCTCATCTCTCACGACAATGAAGACCTCCTAGCGTCCAGGTTTCCGGCCACGGGGGCTCACCCCGCCGCCGCCAGACCCAGCGGTTTGGTGCCGGACTGTAGCGATTTTCCGTCCTGTAGCTTCGCGCCCAAGCCGGCAGTGTTCAGCACGTCGTGGGCGCCCGTGCCCTCGCAGTCGTCCGTGGTATACCACCCGTACGGCCCCCAGCCCCACCTCGGCGCCGACACGCGCTACATGCGGACTTGGCTCGAGCCGCTGTCCGGCGCCGTCTCCTTCCCCAGCTTCCCGGCCGGGGGCCGTCACTACGCCCTCAAGCCGGACGCCTACCCCGGGCGCCGCGCCGACTGCGGCCCGGGCGACGGCCGCAGCTACCCGGACTACATGTACGGCTCGCCCGGGGAGCTGCGCGACCGCGCCCCGCAGACACTGCCCTCGCCCGAGGCGGACGCGCTCGCCGGCAGCAAGCACAAAGAGGAGAAGGCCGACCTGGACCCCAGTAAGTTGGGAGCAATTTTCCTTTACAACCGGCGCGGGAGGGGAGGGGAGGCCGGGCGGGGGGAGCCAGATTACAGCCCCTCGGAGCAGCGCAGGGAGCGCGGGAGAGGGGCGAGGGCGAGGGGGCGAGGACTCAATAAAAGCGAATTACCTTGGGGAGCTTTCAGGGGCAGGAAGGTCTGAGAAGGGAGCCCAGGGAGCCAGGTTGGGAGAGGGCTGAGGGGGGCTCCTCTCCCTGGAGCTGGCTTTGACGAGAGACCCCCCACCCCACCCCCAGCCCAGGCTTTTTGGCTCAGTCGCTACTTTCCAAGAAATGCAGACAGGGCCAGGGGATGGGGTGGGGAGTGAGGTTCATTTTATGGTTTGAGGTGGGATTGGGGGAGAGATGAGGAGGACACTGGGGACAGAGAGGAAATACCCCAGGGAGAAAAATCACCCCTACCTCCCAGCCAGCATGGGGGTTCTTACCCCACCAGGGATTCATTAAACAGAAGGTGCATGGACTTCTTCTCCCCCCAGGAGCACTGGGTGAGAGGTCTGGGGGATTTCACAGCCTGGGAACTTGGAGAAATCAGGACTTCCAGAGTTGGGGAAGAGAAGTGGGGTCTCAGTCTCCTTAAACTTGAGAGCCCTCTTCTGAGGGTCTGCAGGAAAGAGGGTTGAGAACTGGGCTCAGGGATGAGGAATGGGGGGGAGCATCTCCCCAGATTAGAGAATTATACACACACACACACTCCCATCAAGGAGACTGGAGCCTTCTGAGTATTGCACAGAAGGGCAGGAGTAGGTGGGGCTGGGGGGGCAGGTGGGAGCTGCTGGGCCAGAGAAAGGGGAAAGAAGGGGAAACAGCAGGGGAGGGGGTGCAGCCCCTGGGTGTGAGGAAGTGTCTGGGGGAGTCCCAGGAGGGGGCTGCAGGAAATCCTTTTCCTCCAGCCCCATAAGGGGCCAGGGCCTAATTATACCCCTCTGAAGGCTTCCCTCCTTGCCCTCAGCTACTCCCATAAACCTGAAATTGGAGGCTTGGCTCCTGCAGAGCCTGTCCTGGGGCTGGCAGGAGGAGGGCACTGGAAGCCTAACAGGGAAGCTAAGATATGGGGGAGCCTGTCCCAAGGCCAGTAGGTCTCTGGGGAGAGGAGAAAGGCTTTCCCCATTCTAGCATCACTCTGAGAATTCGCTTCAGCAGGGTTGAACTCCGAGAGCGGAGCCGGGCGCTGAAGAGGGTAGTGAGGGGCTTAGGGACTCTCAGGGTCAGGAAACAGAACTGCTGAAATTTCAGGACTTGGTCGTGGGCTGGGAGGATGGGAGGGGGCAGAGGAGGAGGGAAGTGGGGAGGAGAGAGACCTCGCTATAAAAATAAAAAACAAGAGAGAGAAGCGTTTATGGGCCTATGAAACGGTTGGGAATTTGGACTTTTTATGAGCATATTCTCGAATTACTACTCTTGAAGCTGAGGACCAGACTGGAGGGGCTTTGATAGCTTTGATTTCCTATAGTTTTAGGTGCTAGAAATTGAAGAGGGGGGACGGTGGGGAGGGGGCAGAATGCAAAAGGAGTCAGGGAGAAAATTCCCCAAGCAAAACGTGTCCAAATTCAGGTTCAATTATTGCATTTGGGGAGCCTGGCTAAGTCTGGGGGTAGGGTGGCAGGGCTCCTGGGCTAGAAAGGGGCTCCACTGACCCCTGCCTGTGTTTGGCCCTCCAGGCAACCCCGTGGCCAACTGGATTCACGCCCGCTCCACGAGGAAGAAGCGCTGCCCCTACACCAAGTACCAGACGCTGGAACTGGAGAAGGAGTTTCTCTTCAATATGTATTTAACCAGGGACCGTCGGTACGAGGTGGCCCGGGTTCTCAACCTCACGGAGCGGCAGGTCAAAATCTGGTTTCAGAACCGGAGGATGAAGATGAAAAAGATGAATAAAGAGAAAACCGACAAGGAGCAATCCTAAACCCTGCCCCAGCCTGCTGCCTCGGCACAGCCAAGGGAAAAACAAAAAGCCCCACAAAAATACCCCAACCCAGGCGGGAGAGAGCACGAAAAGAAAAGGAAAGAACAAGATAGAGAAAAGCCAATCAGCTTAAAAGGAAGGGGGAAAAGGAAAACTCTTGCGATTTGGGAGGGTTCAGTGTTAAGAAATTGGTGTTTTAGAATTAGTTCTACCCAGCGAGGAGCAGGAGGCGGGGAGAGAATCCGCTTTCTCTTCTCCCAGCGCAACTGAAATAAATAACACACACAAATGTGATTTTTTCCCTCCTTTCTTCAGAGAAGCCAGTACTTGAATCGCTGTATCTCTATTTTGTTTCTGTATCGTATTTGGTCTGGGCCATCCCTCCCCAGGCCTGGGGTGCTCTGCGTGCAGATTTTGTACAAAAAAAAGACACCCACACAATAACAATTCCCAGCCCAGGAGCCGAGGGGCGAGGGCCCGGACCGTGCCGCAGGCTGGGTCGGGCGGGCAGGCCGGCGCCTCGGGCTTGTACATAGCGGTGTTTCTCCTCATCCCCAGCGTCCGTCCTGTAACGTGCTTCTGTTTGTTATGGTTAGAACAGCTCTGTGTTAATATATCGAAGTCACTTAAAAAACCAGAAACCCAACCGCATCCAGTTCTCGTTATTTCTCCTCCCTGTGGCTCCCAGGCTGCTGTCGTGGAGGAGGCAAGTGTTCAGTTCCTTTGGGGCAAGCCAGAGCCAGGGAAGGGGCTCCCTCTACCTCGGAAGGGCAAGTGCCTGCCGCTGCTCCCCACGCAGGGTGGGGTGGGCATGAGGGCCCCAGGGCTGGAGTGGAGGCTGCTGAGGCCTGGCCCAGCTTGTGCCTGCCCCGCCGGCTGCCTGTGAGTTTCCTGGTAGCTCGATGGAGTCCAGGGGGTGGGGGGTGGGGGCATGGCATGAATGGTTTTCCCTGGCTGTAATTAATTGTAATAATTTATGAGTACACGAGATCGGAGGGAAGAGATAGGTGAAGATGAAAGTTGGGTGCTGGGTGAGGGCCCGGGCTGGATACTTGCCTGCCTGCATTGGTGCTTCGAGGGATGGCTGGGAGGGAGGGAGGGTGTGCGGTGAGCGGTGAACGGTGAGGGAGAAGGCTGAGCAGGCCTCAGGGAGCAGAAGAGGCACTGGGGACTGCGTTGAGAGTAAAAGAAGGGAGAGAGAGAGAGGAGGGAGAGGGAGGGAGAGAGGGAGAGAAGGAAGGAGGGAGAGAGGAAGTAGGGAGGGAAGAAAGGGAAGAAAGGAAGGGAGAGAAGGAGGAAGGAGAAAGATGGCAAAACCAATACAATCTGAATTAGATTTTGTTTCAACTTCTCAATGCATTCTCAGCTTCTCTCTCTCTCTCTCTCCCTCTCCTAGTTCTCTTTCCTTCTCAGTCTCTCTCTCTCTGGTGGTTAGTTTGAATGTTGATTTGGGGGTAATAGGGTTATGCTGAGTGGCTGCAGCGTTTCTGGGGGATGACATGGCCAAGGCCTAAGGAAGCCGGTCAGGGATTAGCCTGGAGGGGGTGTTCCCTGATGGTGGTGGGACCCCAGGCATAAGAGTAGAGGCCCATATGTGCAACAGCCCATTGGGGCTGGTCAGTGGCACTGCACCCCAGAGCGCCTTCCCCAGCGCCGGCAGTTTTCATCTGCTAATCAGAAGCAGACACAAGCTGCTGGGTATGCCTCGGCCCCGGTGCCCCCTTTCTCGGAAATCCCCCAATCTGGAAACTATTAAACTCAGACGACTTGAAATATAGCGCTTTAATATCTCAGGCTGCCCATTCTGGTGAGGGTGCAGGGTGTTGTTCTGAGTACTTGGGGAATACCACCATAAAAGAAAATCATTGGGGATCCCAGTCCTTCTGCAGCTTCCTCCATCGCATGGCCTTACAGGATTGGTGAGGCACTTGGAGGGACCAGCCCCTTCCCCATCATTTGAATCTCCTACCCCCTCCTTCCATTCAACACTCCCAATTTCGGGGACTGGAGAAAGGTGGGAAGGCACAAACATTTTGTTTCGATGATATTTTGAGGGGGGCAATCAAAAGTCGCAAACACTGGTTTTCCCAGTGGCTGAAGCACCCTCTCCTCTTTTCCCACTGAAGAGACCTCCTCCCTAATTCCAGAACCAGTTGTTTCCTTGCTCCTTTTGAATGGTGCTTTGCCTGTAGTTTATCCTCTTTTCTCAATCCTCACTCCCCTCTTTGGCCATTTCGCTGTTCTGGGACCCTGGCCTCAGTTTCGCTCCGGGCAGAGGCCAGGGCACCCGTGTCCCTGGGTCCTGACTGCCAGTCCTGACTGCGGGGACTCAGGCTTTTCTCCCAGACCAGGCTCCGCCGCGTTTCCGGGCCTCCACCCCGCCCCTGCTCCAAGGCCCTGTCGCCTCCCCTCGTCCGTCAGCGCGGCCTGCTTCCTGCAGCCCGCCGGAGAGCGGCCTTACTCCGGACAGGAAGGAGGGCCGCAGGGCTCGGGGCTCCGAGGGCCCTGGCGAGAGCATGGGATCCAGAGCAGGCCCACCCGGCCCAGCCCACTGTTCAGTTCCAGCTCAGCCTCCAGCCTGCAGGTCAGGATTGGACTCAATTTTTTTTAATTTATTACAATTTGTGAATTAAAACCATA